AAATAACCAACACATCACCCGAGGCTTTGCCGATTCACTCTGATAAATAAACCTAAGGTGTGAATTTGATACAAATTCTAAATGAAATTTAGGTATAAAAGGTTGAGAACAGTTTTCTTCTGTAAATAAAAATAGCAAGAGGAAGCCAAGAGCCCAGAGGACTTGAAAACTTACAAGACATACATATTTAACGACATGTTACAGAGTCTACATTATTTACAGTAAGTCAGGATACCCGCTGGCTGAGTTTTAATTTGATCAGAAGCAGACCGTAAAACTTTCGCTTTGTTAATGGACATTTGGCCTTTACATTGAGAAATAGGTAGAAAAGACATATTTACCTGGAAGAAAAAAAGTGATCATGAACGTCTTGCTTTGGGAAAAATGAAATGCTATCTTGTCTCTGATTTTAACCACCTAGAAAAAAAGTGATCATGAACGTCTTGCTTTGGGAAAAATGAAATGCTATCTTGTCTCTGATTTTAACCACCTAGAAAAAAAGTGATCATGAACGTCTTGCTTTGGGAAAAATGAAATGCTATCTTGTCTCTGATTTTAACCACCTAGAAAAAAAGTGATCATGAACGTCTTGCTTTGGGAAAAATGAAATGCTATCTTGTCTCTGATTTTAACCACCTTCAACTACTTGCATTTTCTTGGATGTTCAGGGAAGGTTAGGATGGATGACAATTAGCATAGAATAGATTTTTTAAACCCACATTATTAACATTAAGAACTATATCACCATTCCATAAAACTTTATATACATTCATCCGTGTGTAGTTTTATTCTATTCTGCAAATAATTATACCCTACTTGTTGCCAAAGCTAAAGTAATTCAGCAATACATGAAAGGACAGAAATAAGTCAAGTATAATAGAAAGTTAATGAAGTAAACATATTTATCCTATTCATGAAATTCTTTTCATGACCCTTTTCTGGGTCCACACAGAACAGAAATAAGAGTTTGAATGATGATCTGGACAATTGATACACAAAAAATGAATTATTTTGGTAGTTATAAGTGCAAACATTAGGCCTTCATCTTTCAGCTTCAGTTATCTGATATGAAGTAACTGCCAATAAATATCACAAATCTGACCAAACTGCAAGGGATAATAAGTAACAGTGTCTCTATTGGTTTCACGCCAAAAGATCAATTTATTCAACGAACTGCATTTGAAACTTAGTGCTGGGGAAATGATATAAATTATTATGAAAAAGAGTTTCCAAGAATGAAACTAACTTAAAACTGCAAGTAGTTTCTGGAGTAGCATTGTCCTAGTTCACAGTTGTCTTCACGTTGAAGAAAAGCTCATAGAAATGACAAGATTCCTTTCACCACAGTAAACGTAACAAGAAATTCCAGATAGATTACCGCACAGCTGCTTCCTCCCCTCAAAAGCCCCCCATCCCCACCCCGGCACACTTGTGCCCACACACAGACTCTCTCTCCCATCACTGTCCTGCAAAAATTCTAGCCTCAAAATTTGACATTTCATTGTGACAACGGAACAGAGTAGCAGTTGCCCAGCACAGCTGCAGTCTGAAGGCAAAGGTTAGGAGATGGGAGCACAGAGTCACTTCCAACTATTAACTCCGGGGAATGGTGACTTCTCAGAGCCATGCACCCCTGGGAACACAGGGTTTCAAGTAGCATGCCACTGCACCCCACAGAGTGCAAATCTCAAAATCAGATTTGAAAATAGAAGAAAACAACAATTACTCAAAGTACTTGAGATGTGAAGTCGCCATAAGCTTTTCATGATTCATACAGAGTACTCAAATGGACTGGGTCCATTAAGATGGAATGGGTCACTTAAAACCTCCCAGTACTTGTGGTATCCATGAGCTAAAATAGAAGAAAACAACAATTACTCAAAGTACTTGAGATGTGAAGTCGCCATAAGCTTTTCCTGATTCATACAGAGTACTCAAATGGACTGGGTCCATTAAGATGGAATGGGTCACTTAAAACCTCCCAGTACTTGTGGTATCCATGAGCTCCAAGATCACATCTTTCCCGATCTTTATCATTTCATAAATACATAGTTTTTACATAGTTGTGATCCATGGCCAAATACATGAAATGCTCTTGTTTATGTTTTCTTCCCAAGGGCCATTTGGTCAGATAACTCTAACAGCCCTTTCCTTCTTCTTTGCAAGAATACTGTGATTCTGGCTATAAAAGTTTATCATTCATTTTGCTGATATGCAGACCATAGTAAGTGAGGAGAAACTAGTTTGATTTATACTATGGATTATGCTCTGGAATCTTTAAATAGTTTTTAATAATTTAAAACAGAAATTTCATTTTAATATTCAAAAGTATAATTTTTATAAAATACTTTTTCATAGCCCCCCACCCCCAAACCTTAGAAGAAGAGGACAAAAATATCAGGAAATATGTTTCTATGTATATGTCTTAAAACTTGCCAAAGATTTTATACATATGATGTTATTTCTACACCAACCTTTTCTTATCATAATCATTTCTCACTTTTGATATCTGACCAAAGCGTTATCACTCCAGTCTTCTATTGAAGAAGTGAACATGTCCAGCTTTTACCATTCTGAATAATTCTGTCATGGCATATTATGTGCTCAATAATTAACAGCTGTCATTATTGTTATGGTAATACATTATGCCAAATGTGTACTCTATGGATCATTTATATTTTGTCTAAATCTAACATTCATGTTTTATAGCATGTTTTTCAAAATGTGGAATGTGACCCATTGGTGGGTCATGAAATCAGTGTAGTGGGTCTCAGCCAGAATTTTATAAAAACTGACATAAAATAAAAAAGAAAATATCTGAATGCATTGTATGTGATAAAAGAAAATATTTTAGTACTGTGAGTTTTAGTATGGCAAGTATGGGGTGTGTGTAAAATGTATTTCTTTCTATGAGCTGTCTTAAGTTTGAAAGTCACTGTTACAAAGCATACAAGTATATTTCTAATGAACATGATGAAATAAGTATTCACTTAGAACAAAGGAAAACAACTACATTTATTTTTTCTGTAACTAATAATCAATTCTCTTTTATATTCGCAAACACAATTACTCCACTTTGTACATTGCATTAAATGTATTCAAGCCATTTAAAAGTAATTTTCTATTCATTTTCCATGGGCACCATTAGAGAATTAATAGGCTAAGCATTTGTTGACATTATTTTCCACAAATGGATTCTCATTTCTCTTGCATTTATCTACCATGAAATAATAATAGATACAGGGACCCTTGATTTTCAGTTTACTGTTCTCTAATGATGACCTATCTCTGTGGCAAAGATGTGACAATTCCCTGTTATGACACATTGATCTATAACAAAAGAATATCTCATTGGAAATGCACGAAAAATAATTCCAATTAGTCCACATTAAATACTCACCCATATCCACACACATCCTTCCTCATTAAAACCCTTCAAATGTTTATGAACTCTCTTCTGAAAAGTCATAATGTTATGGGCAGAAGAAATATAGTTAATCAACTTAGTTGTATCTTGCATTGTGCATTTCAGTGTTACGGAGAAAATAGGAAAAGCAGAAAATAAAAAGAAACAACAATCATGAGGTATCAATGTTAACATTTGCACAAGAGTTGGAGAACAAATGTAGAAGTCCCACACTCCCTTGAAAAATCACAAATTCTGCCTTAGTATTAGGACTACTATGCTTAAATTAACTTAATTAACTGAGGGCTGGTGCTAGAGTACAGCTCTCAGGGGAGGCAGAGCTCTACCTTTGAATGGAATTCACAAATATGTCACTTCATTTCCTCAGCGTTTACTCCAGGTAGCCCATCCACCATTTAAAGGGACTTTCTAGAGGAAGCAAGTGCAGATACTCAAAAGGGCAAGGAAGATTCTGAGAGACCCCACGTTATACCGAAGTAACGCATGTCTTTTACTGAGCACTTACTCTGTGTCAAGCACTGTTCTAGGGGTGGGAGACAGAGATAAGTTTGGGATCAATCAAGTGGGAGAGTCCCAAAAGCACACAGAAGATTACAATCCCATATGCTAAGGGCTATGACTGAGGCGTACTCAAGATACAAAGGAACCACAGAGGGGGGCCACCCAACCTAGAGGGGGAGCCAGCAGAGATCAGTAGAAGTTTCTTAAAGAGATAAGTTTGAGCTGAGTCATGGAGAAGAGGGAGTGGGGGAGGGTGCTTCCCCCCAGGAACTCAGGTTACACAGCATGATATATGTTCAGTACACTGCAGTAAAAGTTAAACAACATGAGTTTGGCAAATTTTGAAATAATAACAATTTCATTTGGTTCAATCTGTTCGATCTAAGCATTGCATGTGCTCAGGACACCACAAGGTTAGGGATTTCTGGAATGCACATAGGAAGACAAAGCTCAAGAGGCAAAGGCCAGATCAACATCATATGTGGGAATTAAAGTGGGAACAGACACAGCTGGGGATTTATCCTACTACTAAGATACCACGCAAAGTACGAGGATTGCCTGGACATTAAAAAATATTATCCAATAAACTTTAAAACACCAAAACAAAAATTAAGAACATTTAAAAACACATTTTATTCATAATTCTACCACCCTAAGATCACATCTATTTTCAAACATTCCTATTCCCTTTAATTCTTATCACACAGTTTCTTAATACATACGCCATCTTACTGCTCATAAACTTTGCACTTGACTTTATTACTTAACATTAACTGGAAAATCATTTTCCATGTAATCATCACGTATGTTATTTTTAATGGCTGTAGAGTGTTTCATGGTGTTCTCCCACTAGACAACATAACCATTTTCTTTCTGTATGTCACGTAGGCAGTTCCCAGATTTTCCTACGACAAATGACATTCCCATAAACAGTTTCTACCTGTACATTTTATCTTATGCTTTCCTTTAGGTAAATTCTAAGGGGTTAGATTACTAGACCACAAGATAGAAATACGTGTACAAACATTTGTGTGGCCTTTGTTACCCAGGTGGAAGAGGGCCTGGCACTTACTTTTTTGCTCCAAGTAAGGCCTGTGGCGTGATGTTCCTTGATGTATGCTTGAAGCTCACTCCAAATGTTCAAATAGGACTTCACCCAATCCACATGGCGTAAATCACTTTGTGATAGAAGAGAGCAGAAGAGAATGGAGTTAGGACCTAAAATAAAATTTAAAAAAGATTGGGGGTGGGGGGAATGTTGTTATCCAGTAACAAAGGCTTCAGATGTTGCTGGAGAAATTGTCCTACTAGCCAAGTTACCGTGAATGTACTCAGAAGAGAGCCCTGGAAGAAAGGTGGACCAGCACTGTCCTGAGATGGGCAGATGGCCGAGTGCCCTGAGCTCCAGCTGTACAGCAGAGTCCACAGAGAGGGGACCTGACAGAACGAAACTGACTCGGGCAGTGAAAGGCCATCAGGCCATCCCTGTGATCCCTAATGCCAGGTGAACGTGCAGGGGAGACCATTTCTTTCTGTACGCTTCTGATGCAAAATGAAAAACAAGATGCTCTCAGGAATGAGAATGGAACTGAAAAGAAAAAAAAAGTCATTTGGTTTGTTTTCTAATAATTTGGTTGAATTATTTAGTTAAAAGTGTCACCAAATTGGAGAATTTTAGTCATTATGACTGATAAGTTGGTATTGTAAGAAAATGGTTTCTTACAAATGGGTAACACCACATACTTGTAAAGAGACATTCTCTTAAATTAATTTGGTACTTTTAATGACAATGCAAACTGGCAGGGCATGACCAGTAATTTTATCTCTACTTTATTGGACCAAGAGCTAGTAAAATGCTTACCTTTTATGACAGGATTGAGAGAACTGTTAGAAATATTAAACTCACAGATAGGCAAAAATAGCTGCATTTCTTTTTGGTAATTTTCACCCACAGTATTTTTTTCCCACTTTGAATGAAGTAGTGGTAAATGAGAAAATGAAGACGTTTGTGTTAACAAAAATTTAATTATGTACCTGGCCCATTAATCTGAAGATAATCACTGAAAGAACTCTTAATGATTAAAGCTCTTACCAATAATGAATTGTCGCTAGACATATTTTTTTTCCCCTTGAAAAGCTCCAGGTACCACCAGTATGTTCAGAATCCCATTGTATTAAGGCATGCCATTTAGGAAAAGTAAAATGGGACACTGAAGTCATAATTATTCACTCCTCAAAGAGGAAAAACATGAGGGTGATTTGTTCTTCCTTTTTAGATTTACTGATCATATTAATCAAATCTATGGAAAAAATCTCATGTCATTTTGTCTCACTTTCACAAAAGTCAAAAGGCTAAGTGTAGGCTAAGCGTGTTTCTCTTGTTAGTTTCCTTATCCTATAAGGTTTGTGAGGATCTTAGTACAAGGCCTTGCACATACAAGCAGTATACACCAGAGCTATTGTTAGAGCACAAACATTACTTCAATATAAATGGACACACATATCTATATATGTGGCCACTTAATACACATACATGTGTATGTATATGTGTGTATGTTATTCAACACACACATATATGTCTGCAGACACTGTTGAAATAGCATGTTGCACATTCAATACACTCTCTTTTGAAAGAATTTAACAACGGATGAAGTCCAAATCTGTACAGGCACATTCATTTTTCTTTTAACCCTTACAGTAGTATTCTGACTACTAGACTAGTAAGGCAGAACATTATGGTGCCTTTGTACCCAAAGTCAGCCTTTAAGAGATAAATTGAGCAGGACCCAAACACTCACCCAGAGCTGCAAACCCATCCGTGGTTTTCATTTACCCTGGAAGGAGCTATGGTAGGGGAATCCACATTTTAATTATGCCTCAGAGAGCCCGCAACATCATAATGCCAAAATAATTGACTTCCTCTACTCACATATTGTAGAAGAACCAACAACTAGTCAAGTTAGGTAAGAGCTGCACAGACACTGAGCCCACTGCTCGCAGCCCTTCTGTTTAAATGACAAGGAAGCCTGTCTTTTGTCTTCTCCACCCCCAGGCCTATCCGTCAGGTAGGCAGCAGTGGGCTGCAAACGATGCCACACAGAGAAGGCACCGCAGGCTTGGGTCCATCCCTGAATGGGTGTTGAGGGGTGAAGTATTCTGCCTTTCTCAAGTTACCAGCCCAAGGAGCTCAAGGGTGACATGGGACTAGTTTGAGTACTTCTGGAAGTGAAATTCATGAATCTCTGCCTCTAGCTACATTTCCCCAGCTTATTGTACAGTCTTCAGGTGGTCACTGAGCTGAACCGAGCTGTCCTGATGTTGCTGGAAGTACATCTTCTACTTAATAGCTGACATCGAGGGGCCAATACTGGACTCTCTTTGTATGTGTACAAGAAAGTGGAAAACCTCAACCCTTTTGATTACACTACCACCTGGGAAGAATCACTCACACCCATGGCCCCAACATATACTCAAGAGGGTCTGGGAGGACAGGAGTTGATGAACTGAAATACAGATAAAAAATGGTCTCCAAGGTTGATATGCAAAAAGGCAGAAACCTAGCTAGTACTTAAGCTGTCCTGAATTGGCACGTGTGTCTGTACATCCTGAAAAAAAGAAATCACTGTGGGTCTATACTCATGGCAAGATATTATTATATCCAGGTTTTGTAACTTAAGCTTGCTCTTTTCTTTCATGTGAGAGGAGCAGGCTGTCTTGCATTTTTTATGCCTTTTTTCATGTGTACTGCACAGTTCTATAGTCTTTAATACAAACTGGCAACATGTGGAGTCATTTCATCTGGCAATTAGTACCATTCTTGGGTGCAGGAAGTCTGTAAGTGAGCACAACTGCTTTAACCAAAGTTCCCTCGGGGTGGGAAGAAACCCCAGGAGGGAAAGAGGCACTCTGCAGACCCTGGACTTAGTAGTTCATCTGCTAAAGCTGCTCTTCCTAAGATCTGCAAGACCTGTTTTGCTAACACAGACTAAACTCCGTGACAGGAGCACTGTGGTTGTGCTTTGTTTGTTTTTTAATATAACAGCTTTATTGAGATATAATTCACATCCCATACAAATCACCCATTTAAAGTGTACAATTCATCACCACAATCGATTTTAGAACATTTTCATTGCCCTAGAAAGAAACTCCATGCCCATTAGCAGTTACTTCCCATTTTCTCTAGACTTTCCCAGCCCTAGGCAACTGCTAATCTGCTTTCTGTCTGCATAAATTTGCCTGTCCTGGAATTTCACATAAATGGAATCATACAATATGTGGTCTTTTGTGCCTGGCTTCTTTCACTTGGCACGATATTTTCAGGGTTCATCCGTGCTGCTGCCTGTATCAATAATTCCTGTATCAACAATTCATTTTATGGCCAAGTAATATTCCACTGTATGGACATACTACAGTTTATTTGTCCATTCACCAGTTGATGGACACTGGGTTGTTTCCACCTTTTGACCATTACAAATAATGCTGCTATAAATATTTGTGTACAAGCTTTCACGTGAACATGTGTTTTCATTTCTTTTGGACATAAACCTATGAGTGGAATTGCTGAATGTAGTAAAAAATATAGGTATATATTTCTTAAACTGATTGGTGGAAGTACAGGTATTCTTTGTATTGTAATTATCATAAATATTTTTTTGCATCTACTTATTATTATTTTTTGTGGCTGGCCGGTGTGGAGATCTGAACCCTCAACCTTGGTGTTACCAACACCGCACTCTAAACAACTGAGTTAACCAGCCAGCCTTCACTATTTGTTAAAACCAAAAATAACTTTAAAAAGAATGATGATTATTTTTTGTGGCTGGCCGGTGTGGAGATCTGAACCCTCAACCTTGGTGTTACCAACACCACGCTCTAACCAACCGAGTTAACCAGCCAGCCTTCACTATTTGTTAAAACCAAAAATAACTTTAAAAAGAATGATGCAAATTTTGAATATGTAATATTGATCAATGACTTGGGACTATAGTGGGTATTTGTTTATGTATTCAATGCACTTCTTCTATATTCTATATAAAATTTGTCTTATAGTGTTGTAGACTCTTCTCCTGGTTCTTATTTTCAGGTCTGTGTTAGTAAAATAAAGAAGTAATTGAGGCAATGATCCAGATGGTTCAGCTCCTCAAATTTCCTTATATCTGAACAGTCTGGGTCAACAAGTGAGATGTCCGCAAGAGCTTCTGCATTTGTTGGTCAACGGTCACTTCTGTTGCTGCCACCTAAGGGCTCAGAGGGGAAGCCACCTTGAGCCAGAACCAAGTGGGTTGGAACCTCGAGGCTCCTATTTTTGCCCCATCTCTTCCCTTAGTTACCAGGCACCAGTCACATTACACTTAGCCAGCTGTTTACAGGGCAAGGCAAGAGCTTATCAGAGGGTAGCAATCTTATGATACCCCTTAAATAACTGAGGAGACATTTTCTTGAATATTTCTTCAGCTCTGGCATGCCTCCATTTGGTCCCATTTTCAATTCCTACCCCAGTTTAAGTCTCTCTAGGATCCACGTATTACTTGTGCTGCAGAATGCAAGCTCCTTTCATGCTGGTACTCTAGGCAGAGCCTCTTGGTTCAGACTCATCTATACTCTCAATTGCCCTCTGAATGACTGCTCTCTCTCTTCCACCCCAATCAGATTTCATCTTAACACAATCTCCAGTCTCCCTCTCACTGGGCTGGTTTGTTGTCTCATCCCATTTCTGTTCTCGACTTATATATTTCCTGATTCCTCCTTTCTTCTACTGCTCATCCACCAACTCTATTTTGATCAGTGGAAAAGTTTTCTGACCGTAGAGGGCTGGCCCATCACAAAGCTCTCCTGTTATTGCAGAAATACATAACATAGTCACATGCATCCAAGTGGGAAGAGTTTATTCATTACAAATAACTGAGGCAGACTTCATAAAACATATATTATCCAGATAATTGAGTCTACTTTCCACTTGACTTTACCTGCAAAGATGGCATTTTTCTAGAAAGTTTATAGTACATTAATTTAGGGCCTTGGAAAGGAATCAGTAATGAAGCATATTGAGTTTTAGGGAGAAATGTCTAACAAGTGATCAGCCAAAAATGTAGTCAGTAAAAGACGGTACGTACCTGTGTTTGTAGTCCTTTAAGACCCTGTTTGTGTAAAAGGTGGCAGCATCATTCATCTCCTTGACATAAGGACCAGGTTTGGGGGACTGAGAAAACAGGACCATCACCCAAGCATAGAAGGAAAAAAAAAAAAAAAAAAAAAATAGAATAAGAAAGAAAATGCCTTAAGGAAGAAGAAAGCAATGGAAATGTGGACTTGAAAGTTGAAGGTACATTTTGCTCTGTAAAGATTGGTAACACACTTGCTGTCTCCCAGAGTAGAAAGCACTGGACTTTAAACAGGGTAACAAAAAGCTGATACACTCAGCCTAGATGGACTTTCTTCAGTGCATCAGACAGCGGACAAAGGAGCATGAAGGTAGCCACGAGTTCTCCTGAGCACTCCAAAAATGGGATGTGGTGACATTCATTCCGTCTGGACTCACCACAGCTATCCATCCAAGAGCAGGGATGCTCTCACTGACAGCCGAAAGATGATTAAACATGCTACTCCCCCGGTTTCTCTCTCTGAAAGTTTGGATTTCCTGAATCTTTTCCGATATGGGTTTCAGAAGTGCAGCCACGTCATTCTGTAAGCAGTCAAAGAGAGAGGTCTGTTACTACACACAGAACAGACACACAGCACTTCTATCCATGTCAGCCCAAGCAGGAGTCCTCAGGACGTGTGTCCAGGCATCTAAAAGAAACACATCATCTTTCAGAATAGAATGGACTTTTCTTTTGTTATCGTAATACTGCACTTTCATTCTCTAAAGTATGAAAATTGCAGATATTTTTAATATTATTAATGCTCTCTCCCGAGATGTGAAAAAAGCCCAGAAGTATGATACAGCCCCTATTTTGGAGATTCCTGCATGGAACACAGTGAAATTGAGGGTGGATCAGTTATATTTTCAAATGGAATACAAAGACCACACACTGCAATAACACAGGAGTAAAGTCGGGGAGGGTGAGAGGTTAGTAAAACGAAGTCTTCCTATTCCTGCAGGAACATGATATGGGAGAGGGCCCTTCGTTTTACCAAAGTTACCATAATTCATGTGAAAAAGTGGAAATCTTTCATTGAGGCTCTTTTTAAGATAATGTGATTGCTTATTGCATTAATAGTGACATTAGTCTGGTTTGGCTTTCTACGTTGTTCCCAGTCCACTTGGTCTATGACTATGGGTCAGGCCCACTTCTGATTAATTCAACAACCAGCTTCTCTGATCATACACAAAATGACTTTGAAAATCATGTGAGCTGAGTTCTGAAGTATCACAGAGACAGGTACTCCATCCTACCAGAGCAGCTGGTAACATCTCCCTATTCATCCCCTTAGCATTTTCTGCTTTCTTTAGGTGTTGAAGAGCAGATACAAGGTTGTTTATCTGATTTTTTGTGTTGCTCCAAAGAAATAGCAAAGGTCTTGCACTTCAGTTTTGTAAAAGCAGTTGAAGAGCTTTAAGCAGTATCTTACTATATCTTGTTTGCAGGAATTAAAATGGAAAAGCTCCTTATAGCTCTTTAATTTCCTTAACCAAGACATTGGAGCAATGACTCCCAAACTTGGCTTTACAATGGAACCAGCTGAGGGGCTTTAAATAAACACTAAGGCCTGGGTTTCACCCCCAGAGATTCTAATTTAACTAGTCTAGGAGTCTAGGGGTGGCCTGAGGAGCTGGAAATAGGAAAAGCTCCCCAGGTGATTTTAATTACTGCTACAGTGATGGCTTCATGCCCCAAAGGACAGTCATTTCTGCCAAGGACAGAAAACCATTAGGGAAGAAATTATGTTCAGCTGCTGTAGTTTCCAGACGTTACCACTTCTTCTAAACCCCTTTATATACCTTCCTCTGAAAGAAATGTTGTATGTAAGGGCTTTGGAATCAGAATGACCTTAGTTCAAATCTCAGCTCTGCCACTTGCTACCTAAGGAGCCTCGAACAAATTACTTTATCTGATCCTAGGTTTTCTCACCTATAAATCAGAGAAGATAATGCCTACAACCAATAGGCTACAGGAGATACTGCATTTTAAACCCCTGGCACATGAGAAGTACACAATAAATGGAAATTATTATTATTATTACTATGGTGCAATCAGTTCATACCAGAGGTAAAAGGATGTCGTCCCCTATAATATGCAATGTTCATTTGCTTCAAATAATTGCGTATTAAAGGTAAGAGAGGCTTCAAATAAACATCCATGTAGGCTAACAAGATTTTAAGATTGCAGGAGTCTAAATTGGGTCATCTAGTTCAGCTTTTTGACAAACCCAATTGAGTAGGTCACAATTAGTATTTAAAAAAATAACTAAGACTAGAATAGAAGAAAATATCAGAGGGCATTCACGTGTAGTAAGGGTGGGATTTTTACGAAATACTTGTTTCAGTTATGCAGTGTGTGTGCATGTGTGTGTACTAGGTTGCAAAATAAAATGTATTTCTTATTATAAATCTCAGTCTAAAAGTTTGAGAAACATAGATCTGATCCAATTCTCCACTTTACATATGGTGATACAAGCTTGGGGAGGTTAATTCATTAAGTTATCAACAGCTAGCACATGTTAGTAGAGCTAGAGCTAGAACCTAGATCTCCTGGGTTGCCTCGAGAACCAGAAGTACCAATTCTCTCTATTTGGTATTAAGAAAAACAGTTCCTTCTCTACACACAGGTTTCCTCTTTGCCAACAAGACTATGAAAAAGTATTGTGATGAGATTAAGAGCTCAAGTTCCAGAATGAGACTGCTTGGGTTCAAGTCCTTACTCCACAGTGTACTAAGCTCTGGGACTTTGCACAAAATACCAAATGTGCCCAAGATTCCATGATCCCATCTGCAAAATAGAGTTGACAATGGAACCCACTTCACAAGGATGTTATGAAGAGTATATGAGAGAACATGTCTGTGCTTGGTAAAGGGTCAAGTACATTCTGGGTGCTCAACAAATGTTTGGTGACCTCTGAGGGATGTGCCAACTAGAAAGTCTCTGATTGACCAGATTCACTGACCAGCTCTTTCCTCTCACTTATGTGACGATACAAGGAGAGCAATTTTCTAATTCAGATATGCAGGTGGACAGAGACGCATTTTTGTTTGGGGGAAACAAAAATAAATACAGAGAAAGAAACCAAAGTGTTTTCAAAGTTCTCAGTGGACTTTTCAATTTTTCCATATCAAAGGAAGGGATAAACAAAAGAGTTTGCTGCAGAAGCTAGCCAGTTCTTGTGGAAAATCCATGAATACCTTCCCACCTTCTCTCTTTCCCTTCTGGTCATTACAAAGCAAAGGTTACAGATTTGGCATGAAGATTCTGGATCAAGGTTGTTATGGGGTGAATTGTGTCTCCCCAAGATTCATATGTTGAAGCTCTCCTAGTACCTCAGAATGTCACCATATTTGGAGATAGGGTTTTTTTTTTTTTTTCCCTTTTTGTCTTTTTTTGTGACCGGTAATGGGATCGCAACCCTCAGTGTCGCGCCCGTACTGCGACCGGCAACGGGATCGCAACCCTCGGTGTCGCGCCCGCACCACGCTCAACCAGTGAGGGGACCGGTCTTTATATGGGATCCGAACCCTCGGCGGGAGTGCCGCCGTGCTCCCAAGCGCCGCACTCTACCGAGTGCGCCACCGGGCCGGCCCAGAGATAGGGTTTTTAAAGAGGTAATTAGAGTGGGCTTTAATTCAGTCTGACTGGTGTCTTTATAAGAGCGGGAAATTTGGACATAGATACGTGCAGGGGGAAGGTGATGTGAGGACACAGAGAGAAGACGGTCATCTACAAGCCAAGGAGCAAAGCCTCAGAAGAATCCAACCCTGCTGACATCTTAATCTTGGACTTCCAGCATTCAGAATTGTGAGAAAATACATTTCTGTTGTTTAAGTTGCAAAGTCCGTGGTACTTTGTTATGGCATCTCTGGCAAATTAATACAGGGATCTAGTGGCAGTTCAGGAAAAGCAAATGAACACCCTCAACTCCTCCTACCCCGAACCCTCAACAACAAAACAAGCAAAATCCCCTCTAAACACTCCTGGCTCCAAATACAACTATTCCGTGTTTGTCTGTTAATGGCTGCTGAAAGTCAGTTTTAAATGCTTTCCCAGGAATTTCACTCTTTAGGAGGCAAACTTTTCCCTCTTCAGGGGGTTATTTTCAGTTTAAATTCAACACCTGATCAAAGGTGTGGCATTGGTTTCCCCAGAAGGCAGGTGATTCTTAGTTATGGCAGAACTACTGAAAAGCACCCTAACTCCAGTAATTTGCTAAGCCATAATATTCTCAATGCAATGACATTTTTGAGAAAAGCCAGAATATCTGAATTGTTTGGTGATACCTGGCCCATTGCCCCAAGGGGAAAAAAGAACCAGAAACTGTGTATTTACAATGTTAGAGAAATTTATTAAGGTCATCTCTGTTTATCTCTCACTTCCCAAGAACAAACCCTCAAGTCTGAGGAGACAGCGTATTCTGGAAGATATTTTATATTGGTTATCTGATGAAAGCATCATAAAAATTGAGAAAGTTTCCTTTTGCTTTAGCTTGGCAATTGCGTGTAGAATTATCATTAAAAACAAAAGGGAGTGCTGAGAGAACTAACCACAACAGCTATTTGCAACAACTCTAATAAACAACACGGCTTTTATTCTGTGCCAATAGATTTCTCCTGTACTTGAAAGTAGGCTTATCTCCTCCAGTTCATCCTGAACTTTCACAGCTGGAATCAAAAGCAGGAGAGAACATTAGACCGATGGTGTGATTTCCATCCAGGGTTATTGGGTGAGATGCCAGACGAAAAGGTAATGAGGGAGGCTGCTAGTTAGAAGTACTAAGCATATATTAGGCATATTCAATATATACCGGTTGAATTGCACTGATGTCAATTAAAATTACAGAAGGGCTTTCCCTCTCTAAAAAAGGAGATAACTTAAGAGGCATCCTGGGTTTTTTTCCCCCAATGGCACTGCTAGGTAGTAGCTTCCCAGACACTTCTGAAGCGAGTGTGCTTTGGAATGACTTTAAATAAGCCAGTTTTCCATAGGTGTCATGCAGATCACTTTTTAAAAACTTTTTCCTGAAAGAAACTAATGTTTCAGGGTTCATATGAAGATAAGCTGGAAATCTTCCCTGCCCTTCCCCAGGTCTCTGTGGCAGAGATGTATGAGCAAACGTTGCCAAGGGCTCTCTTAGCTGGGTGGGACAGTTCTCTGGAGAGTATTCTAGGACTCCATGTCTTTGTGACCTTAGCTTCTGCTTTAAAGTTGAAGAACTGAGTCCCACTATCAGCTTCATCTCGGTTTAGCTCCAGAAGTAATTGAATTGTTTTACAGAAAGTAAAATGAAAGAGTTTTATCAGCAAGCTTTGTAGAAACTTTACCCAAAAAGGAAAACCAAATTCCCACTCATACTGTTTTGTTAGAGACGGAACAAACTCTGGGAGTTTGATCTCAAAGATGTGTCATTGAGTGAAATGAAATAGGCCTGTTGTTTTTGGAATCCAGAGTTGTGATGTATGTCTGTATCAGGTAGAAAATGGTTCAATGATTGTTATTTCTTTTAAAATAATTTCTTTTTCTGATTATGAAATTA